CCCTTCAACACCTGAGCGCACGTATCAAGCAGCATGTACCACTTCACATGCTGCCGGACGCAGCAAAAGCGAAGCGCCCGAAGCGGGGAAGACCACGCAAGAACCCGCTCCCTCTACCACCGACACAACCAGAGAAAGTCGAACACACGGTGCAGAGGAAGAGTGGTGGATCACTAAGCCAACCGAATGTGCCTTCTCCACCGTTGCCCTTGCCGCCACCGGAGCCACCACCAGTGCCGTTGGTGGCTGGGGTTGGGGAGGAGTCGGCAACAACAACAGTACCGCCAATCACAGAAATTGAGCCCATTTCTTTGACACAGTATCCGGCTGTGCGGACACCGCAGCACCCTCCGGCGCTTGATCCGTGGGTCCAGAGACCACGGAGGTCGACCGCCAATTATTCAACCGAAATATATGCTAGGAATGGCCAAGGCCCACGCGGAGCATCGAAGGAGACCGGAAGCCGGGGGCAAAACGGAACACAATCTCGGGACGTAGATGAGGTAAGGACAGTGACACGGGACAGACGTAGGAAGGAGAACATGGATGGTATCAGACGACTGACTGGTGGTGAATATGAGTTGGGTGATGATGCGGCGGATGACGAGAATACAGATGACGACGAGGCGGATGACGGCGAGGATACAGATGACGACGAGGCGGGTGATGACGAGGCGGCGGATGAAGACGAGGCGGATGCCGGTGAGACGGCTGGTGGTGATGGTGATAAAACGGACGAGGAGGAGTCAGGTGGCAGGGAAGGTGATGGAGCTGATGAGGGTGAAATTCGTAAGAAGTCAGCTGTGTATTTGCATTTGTTATCTCGTCCCGATTGTTTGAGTGTGTATGATGATTCCCACTTCTCTGTACTGTGTCGTGCCCGTTATGTCCAGCAGTTGAAGGTCCTTGAAGCTGTTAGTATTCGTACACATAAGCCCGATTTGTGTAAGCAAAAAGAACATGTTTTAGCACTTAGGTTATTTTCGTGAGTTTGCACCCCGTGTTCATGAGTTGTTTCTGCACTGTTCATGCCCGTTTGTCACACTTACTCGTTATTTTAGTTCTCACTTTTTGTAATACTTACCACAAGTTACCCGTCATGTGTCACACTTCTTTGGATTTTTAACCTTTGTTTTTCCCTTGATCTCTTTAGTTGCGTATTTCCACTGATGATCGGAACGTGAAAATCGATTTTGGAAACACACAAAACCAAACCTTGAACAAATTGTCGTGTTGCGTGGTGATGTCTGCGGCATTCATACTTTTCATTGCTATTAATAATAATATCACATTAGAAGTCTACGGTGCTTTGAAGTATTGTAAAAATCGTTACTTGAAAACGGAGTAAGGATGCAGAAAGGGTGAAAATCCTTTTCCGGAGTTGGAGCACACCATTCTTCTGAATCACAAGAGAAAATCACCATATTCCTCGTTTCCTGGTCCCTGTCATCGCTACATTCTACTGCAAAAAAACAGGCATTCTTGATTGACCAGAACCCTCGGCCTAACCTGTGAACGTGTCCAGCTAACTTACTTCTCAACACATCACGAAACAGAAAGAGCGAAGTCGCTATAGAGCCTAAAAGTCAAGTTACTAAGGGCGCGTTCGAATTGTCTTCATCAACTGTTCTAACAAATTTTATAAAGAGATTATTTGAAGTGTCCCATTAGAACGGTTTATTTTTAGAGTTTTTCAGTGGAATTGTCATGGCGCTGATGACGTCCATTCAGATCGACCATCTCCACGTACCACGTGACGTAGCTATTCCAAACTCTTCGAAACTAATCCACCTTAGCTTCCCATCGGATGAGTTTCGAGGAGTTTGGAGGAGCTTCGTTTTTCTGAAGAGGCCAATAAGGCCACCTCATCAGAAAAACGAAGCTCCTCGAAAAGTCAAAGAGTGACAATTCGAACGCACCCTTAGACTAGTAAGAGGCTGCCTGCCTTTTCGCACAAGTGTTCTCACTTTCCCCAAACTTTAGTCCAGTCTCTCTCTCTCTATCTCTCTCTCTCTCTATCTATCTCTCTATCTATCTCTCTATCTCTCTCTCTATCTATCTCTCCCTCTCTCTATCTATCTCTCTTTCTCTCTCTCCCTCTCTTTCTCTCTCTCTCTCTCTCTCTCTCTCTCTCTCTTTCTCTCTCCCTCTCTCTCCCTCTCTCTCTCTCTCCTCTCTCTCTCTCTCTCTCTCTCTCTCTCTCTCTCTCTCTCTCTCTCTCTCTCTCTCTCTCTCTCTCTCTCTCTCTCGGTCACTCCCTCTCTCTCTCTCTCTCTCTCTCTCTCTCTCTCTCTCTCTCTCTCTCTCTCTCTCTCTCTCTCTCTCCGTAGCTCTCTCCTGCGTTCAAATTCGCTTCCATAGAATTGGGCACCATTGTCCGTTTGGCCTTGCGAAGTAAAAATTAAAATCAACAACAAACAAGCGTGACTCCCAGTCCCAGGAGCCTCAGAGTTCAGTTGTTGCTGCTGAGGCCCCGGGATAACCTCACCACCAAACGTTGGAGCAGGCATGATGGGCCAAGGCTGCCGCCTGCATGGCAATGGTCTAACGCTAAACATATTTAGTTACCTTCCAACCTTTGTACACGTGAGATCGAGACAGTGACATACCCAGGCGACTACGTATATTCTCATTATGTGCCTGTGAGGCATGCGACAAATGCACGTTTTGGGTGCCTATTACCACCCTCAATACCGAGACGGTACCGGCCAAATCGTGGTTGGTAGGCAGATGTGATAACATCAACAATACAAGGAGGTTGAGGGGAGAGAGCCAGTTTAGTTATGAGAAAGGGCAGAGGGAACACCACTCAATGAAAGACTTTTAAGTGCACTGAGTTCTCTAATGGAAGCTTCCAAGGTCCAAGGTCTCTGGTCGTGCCAGTTACATGTACGTACTAGAGAGAGAGAGAGAGAGTTTTTGCAGGAATCCGGTGTCTGGCGCGGATAATATAAAAATCCTTATTTCAGGATTACCTAAAGGCTAACGCCTATCTGGGGGATCTCCTTATAATCATGATCATTCCAGCTCCCTGCCTGTTACATGGGTCAGAGAGTCGTATTCTCCCGTCACCACTCTGGGCTGACCTGTGCCAACGCAGTGATGGCGGATAACGCCTGTGCATGTGCTGCTGAGTCTCCACTGTACCGTACAGTGATACATGTACAGTCATGTAGACCTACTGGCAAAATGGAATGCATCCCATGGCCCATGGCCCAGGACGATGTGTTGACGTAGTGTTTCAGTCAGTTTATGCCGAAAGTACAGCCAACTGTTACTAGTACTTCTTCGAGTCATGTACTTTACCATGTGACTGTTGTGTACTGGCGTTGGAGATGCTTGTCTGCTGTGCTTGCCGTTTCATCGATCCAGGACTTTGAAGGTATGCACACACGTCTTGTAGTACTGTTGGTAGACAGTGGTCTTTGTAAAAAAATAAAAAAATATAAAATAAATAAAAAAAGACAGGGTCTACGTGTACGGTGTAGCCTACTGTCACACCATTAAAGTCTCCTTCCGATCGCCGTCAGACTTTACACGTCGACCCAAACCCAGGAACCGCAATGCATGTATACATGTAGTAGACCGAAGATGGTAAGTCACCAGGCACCAGGCACCAGGCAAGCCGACGCATGCTGTAATTAGTGTAAAGTGCCTTGCCACGTTCTATTTCTGTTCCCACATCCCATGTCCAAGCACCAGTACAGTACACTTGGTGTATAATTACAATGGATCTCCATTTGCCCATACAGCTACTACTCTGAGCTAGCTAGCTGTTTTGACTTTGTTAGGTCTCATCGGCTTACTAGTTCTTCATCTCCATGCAGTACTGAGATCTACTACTAGTAGACTGGCATTTTCTCAGCACACGACTGGCAAGAGCAGCTAATCGTGAGAGCAGCAATGACATGACCTCAGGCTTAGCCCACAGGCAGAATAGCCCGGTGGCCATGGGGTCGTAGAATGTAGTGTAGGCTGGGCTAGGCTTGGCTGAGTGACTAGCCTCGATATAATAATTATTATTATCTGCTGCACATGATCTGTTGACTGCAAGAACGGGAGGAGATCTCTCCGCGCCCCTCCGTTCAGCAGGAAACTGCTGTAGCATGACGCAGCAGTTGTCTGCAGTTTAGCCAGTTTTAAACTTTTCACGAGACCATAGACTATTACCAGGCATAGACAAGCACGTAGCCAGAGGGGAGTCGGAGGGTGAGGACGAACTCCCCCTTTTCCACCGACAACCTTGAAAAATGGAGAAAAAACCTCTTGTTTTTATATGTACATGATTGCACACGTCTGCGCGTGTCGTATTATGGCAATTTATGGTATACACCAGGGAGTAGTACAATATTGTACTACTCCCTGGTGTACACATTCAAAGGTAAAGTATTCCCTCTCCCAAACCTCCCCTTTTGACAGCCTGTACTGGCTAGGCGCCTGCCTATACCACTACACTATACTAGTCACAGTGGATAGGACTGTTTTGATCTGAAACAATTGCGCAGTGATGTGACTCCATGCGTGCACCTTCTTCAATATGGCGGAGGCTCCACTCATCAAGACAGTGTCAATCTCCTTCTTCACCACCACGCCACGGTCTAAGACGCTTACACTGCACTCGTCGTAAATATCTCTCGATTGCAGTGTATGACCGTTGCGGTGAAGAAGGGGATTGAGACATGCATGTTTACTCCATCTCGGCCCTCTCCAGACCAAAGGCAACATGATCATTCCTTCACTTCAGGGCATGGCAATGATGGCACAGCAATGCATGAATCAGTGCATGACTCGACTGTGCGTAGCTGAAACTACCTTACGTGAAGTGTCCATGCTGGTACAGTGTACCCGCCACCAAAGATTTTTAACCAGCAACAAAATTATATTGAATCAGAAAAGCAATGTTCCGAGTTTTTAATCGCCACACTGCCTGGTTTATACACGCATTCACTCGCCCCTGCGAGAATCGTCAATTTACTGAAGCATGACATCAGACACCACGGTGGCACTTTGCAGAGTTTTCCTGTCTTCCGCCAGCAAAAGATCAGATAAACGTTTGTGAAAATAAGAGAATGTGGTGTAAGATGTGAACCTACCACTAGCACTATGTTCTTATGAATGAAAAGTAAAATGTTACGAGAACTTATTTATGGTGAAAAAGGAGGACAAAATGTTACGAGAACTTATTTAAAAGATAGTATCGCATACATGCGTACATGCGTACATGTAGATCTACTCTCGAAGTATAATGCATTGTACATGTATACAGCATGGATGAATGACAAGGAATGCAATCATGCTTTAGCTGGTTCATCAACGTCAAATAGGTGAGCTATCAGGGTACAGCCTAGTGAGCGGTGGAGAGAAACAATGCTGAAACACCGTATCAGTTAGTCGAGGCAAACTTGGAGAATGATGGTTAGCTCTGACAAAGTCTACAGGCATAATAGAAAACTTTAAAAGAAATGTTATTGATTCAGAAGACTTCAAATGCAGAGCTCACAAGCAATCAGCCAAAGCTAAAATAATCGACGTGGAGACAGAAATATGTATTCTTTTCGAACATTATCATGCTTCTAGAATTATCTGTTACTGAAAGTATTAATACAGTGGTCAATGAGTGCACGAAAGACTAGACTGAGGTTAAAATGATGCAATTGACAGTAGCTTCATGGTATTGTTAGTTCCTCGACAGCTGTACTCCATTCATCAGCGTCATCCACGGACATGCGGACAGCTCCACCGATTGCGAGCACCGTCTTCGGCGAGGTAAAGCAGAGCGCGGTGTGCGCACGGGGAGCTGACAGCTGTGGCAGGGACACCCATTCGTTCACCGGCATCTTGGCCGGGTCGACTGCGGACCAGACACTGAACTGTGCACTCGGTGTCATCTTGCCACTCTGCTCCTCCAGTCCGCCGCATGAGAAAAACAGGGACGTGGAGTGAGCCAGGGATGAGGCGAGGTGTGGCAGCTTCACAACTGTGTCGTAGGAAGACGGCTGGTTGAGATCGAATTGCTCCACGGAGCAACTTTCCGATGCGCCACCCGAGCACGTGCCTCCATATATGAACATAACATCGTTTCCCTGAGCCAACGAGCTGTGGAAGCATCGCTTTGTCTTCATGTTCGGCAGGCATGACCATCGGCGAGTGCTGAACTGAAACACGTCCACCGCCACACTGTAACGATTGCCGGACACACCGCCGGTGACTATGAGCTGTGAGCCAACGCACACTGCAGAGCCGAGGCCGTGGGCCGATGGAAGAGTCGTGACATGCTGCCACGTATCCTCGCCATCGGCTTCTGTCTTCTCGGTCCACCTGTGCATGCAAACATGACAAGCCATAACGAGTATGGGCTGATGCTCACTGTGGAGAGGAGGCCAAGACTTGCATGGCCAGTTGGTAGATGTCCCTATTCACAGGCATGATGATCGTGTTAGTTATTACGCATTCGCATCATGCTCGTGCCTCTACATTGTACTTTGTAGCATGGTACGTGCATCTCCCCATATCCCAGCTGATCAAGCGCAGATTGTCCATGCCATAAAATCGCAGTTCTTGTTGCAGTTCAGTCTGCTGAGTCGTGATACTTCAAGTAGTTTATAGTAAGCTTTAGGCCCATTTTTCTTTGTTTTGTGCTGGATGACGCAAATGTACCAGCATTGAAAAATGGTGCCCTCTCTTGAATAGTGATCTCTCTTGAATAGTGCCCCATCTGTGATGGAGATTGAAAAAATAGTGCCCCAGGGGCACTAATCGCGCAAATACGGTGCCTGCCCCTGTACCCTTGGGATTGGGCTGTGCGAGCTGTGCATCCACCGCTAAGCTATTCGCCACGGGATAATGTGTTGCGCAGTGCTATGCGCACTTACTCCGGAAAGCAGGCACCAGAATCACAAGTTGTCCTAAATTTGAAATTTCCCAAATGAAGTATTGGGCAGGTAATGTTGAAGCGGGCTAAGTAGCAGATCATGCTATGGATTGATGCATGGTATTCCTGCTTTAATGAAAACCCCTACACATCCCATCCTCAAATAAAGTTGTCTTCGCTGCGAATTACTAATAATGAAAAATTTTCGGCCAGGATCCATCATCAGTTTTCTTGCTTACCGATAGATTGCACCGGGTGTTTGTATGTCCGTCTGCGTCATGATGTACAGATCGTCGTCGTGCGTGAACACACTGTCAACGCGGATCCACTCCTGGGTAGGGAAGGCACTCCAGGTGTCCAGAATCACATTGTAGCGCAGCACCACGGCCGTGGCGTCATGTGACGTGTGCCCGCCGACGATGATGTCGCCATTCCACAGCGTGCAGTTTGGGTTTTCCACTGCGCACGGCAGACTGGTCTTGGACTTCCACGCCGTGTTCAATCCGGGCGGCAGAAGCACCTGTGCTGGTACACCAGACTTCTCGTTCGCTTTGTTCAGCTTCTCAAACTCCTGTCGTGTTACACAAGTGCACAGAGCAAAGGTAGATCAGTAGCTTGCTAGGACATAATGTGCACGTACACTGCACTTTAACATGTACTTGGTCAGCTTTGCTTGGTAGTTTGTATGACCAGGGCAGGGGCGGTTTTACTCCACTCATCATGACTACTCGAAGTATTAGAAAGGTCACGAGTTGAAATGTAGAAACGCTCATCGTGTCTCTAGCTATCTACTCAACCAGAAATGATGAGTGCCGAACCATCGGTACAGACCAGAACATTGCTCTTATTTTTCGAGTGTCAATCATCATGATCTCCCAGTGTCATCAGTGGGCCGATTTGCCACTATTTGTAATCAATACTGGTGCATGTGTCTTATGGAAAGCTAGATTTGAAAACAAAATGTCCCCTAGCAATGACAATATGTACGTTCATGAATAGTTTTCGAGATTTCATGCAGATTTGATGGTCCGTCATGGCGGCTGGGGCCTGATCAGATAAGGAATTACTGTAGTTCGATTCTTTTCAATGTATGCGCCAAATGTGACAGCTAAGTGAACACACCAAACTGCTTTGCTGTTGGCCCCGCCTTTTTCGCTTAGCAGCATTGCCCTTTCTCATGACAAGAGTGTGTTACCCCAGAATATGGTTGTGCACTGACACTGATACTAGCCCTGCACAATCCGGCTAAAAACATGGTCATTGTCACTGTATCACATTGATCCTGTGAGTTTGGCACCCTGGGCATAGAATAGTTGTCACCTTCAAACACAGTGCAAGTGATTATTGCCTCTGGAATGAAATTTGTTTGCCCGATATTTTTGGACAGTGTCTGGCCCAGGGGATCATGCGCCTCCAGGCATGGGCGAGTTAGGTACAGCTGCCTCCAGGTTTAGGCTAGTTTCGCCTCTCACTCCATGCTACTAGTACTACCGCCACCACCACTACTCTTGTGCGACGTAGTCACGTACATGTAGTTCGCACATGTATGTAATGATTTCCGTGTTCATCAAGCTTGGTTCGCCCGTGCAGTCAAAGCATGCATGGCGGCACACAGTCTTCCTGTTCGAAGGCCGCAGAGCCCGTTCAGCGGATAGAATCAAGAATGCAAGTTTCGGACTCACCTTCTTCATAACCTCCACTCCGTGCAGAGTGCGGCACGCAAACAGCAGTCTCTCCTTTTCTTGTTCCTCCAACATGTTGGCCATCTTGGCTGTCCTGCCTCGCTCTATGGCCAGTTCCGTGACAGCTTCTTCCAGTTCTCTCTCTTGCTCGGCGACTCTGTTTTCCGCGACACCGTCCTCGCCACTCCAGTACGATGAGAGTTGCCTGTTATCAGAGTCCTTACAGCTTTTGCAGGTGTCCGCATCGTCCCCAAAACTGCTTCCGCGGGGCCGCTGCCCACAGGATATATCCGACGAGGAGGCAGATGCTGAGCGCACGCGGAATATTGCTGGCAATGAGCGCGGCGTCAACGAGCCATCGGAAGATTCGGAAGCGCTTATATCGCCAAACGAGGTCCTTGAGGAGCGCTTGGAGGAGGTGAATGATGAATGGGTGGATGCGGATGAAGAACGGCGACTCCAGGACGACCCAGTCGAGTAACGACTGCCTGTTGAGCTTTTCTTTCGCGTTAGAGTGCCATAGCCCAGGGATGAATCGGTGGCGGTGCCTTCCATTGAGCCCTCGCTGACGCTTCTACATGATTTAGGCGCAGGGTGTAAGAGCTTCATGTCCCGAGAAGGCTCCTCGCCGCTGGGTGACAGTGCTAGTGGACTTGTGCGGTGCATTTCTGCTCTCGACTTGAGGAAAGACAACTGGACGCAAGTGCGTACTCACAGAGGGTGGAATACACTGGCGAGGCGGAAGCGATGGCGCAGCAAAAGATGTGCACAGCTGTCTCTTCTTCCCAGAGGCAAAAAACTCTTTCTTCTCGCTGCGCAGCGTGCAGGTACTGATGAAAAAATAAATGTGTAGCAGACTTGTTGATAACTATTTCGATGCTCTTCGTCTTCGGAGTTGGAACTGCAGAAATATGGCTTCCCGGAGAAGCTATAACACACGTAGGTAGTGTATGGCTGCATAGAGGTTTGGAGTCGGACGTCAGAACAATGCGAGCATGCCACATACTGACATACATGTAGCTTGCTCGTGTGACTGCGATGCCGATCCTCTGTCAAAACAAATACGGCCAGTGCAAACGCACAGACTCAGTATGGTCCGAACACCCACACGATTTTCGCGCAGGGTGCAAACGAATATCGCCAGTCACTGAGTCGATCAGTCCAGGTGTGGAAGAATGGCATGAGTCGAGACGGAATCGATCCTAACTTCAGGTCAGACCCAAGTTAGTTCTCAGTGTAAGTGAGATAGCTACAGGAGATAAATGTTCACTGCTTTACCTAAATCCCAAGTTCTTATCGACATCTATGTCGTCAGATTGGCATGTCCTACTCATGCGCAACATGCCCAGGCGCCCCATTCATTGGGTGCAACGAATGGGCTACGTGGTCTATCAAGAAAGATAAACATGGTTGCAAACTGTACTGGAAGACACAAATCTTGCTCTTGCCCTACCGGACAAAACGCATCGTGGGAAAGCAACCCAATGTCCCCAACATCATAAATTTTGACTCATCGTTCCTATCAACTACTTCGAAGTAGGCAGAACGGCGGTGTGCATCCGAGCCACCTCTAAACCGCGGCAGACTGCAGATGAACCAGGAAACAGTGCCCGAGGTGGGCCAGGGTCCGGTGCACTTGCCACTTGGCTTCACGAGAACGATACGCCAAATTGATATGTCCAATTTTGGTATCCTGATAGATCTACCCTGTGCGACAACGTAATTCTTGGTCTTCATGCCTCGAAAGGTGCTAGAGTAGATATGGAGTCATTGGCACCAGATGCTAGATGACGATGAGTCGGACGACTGCTGTAAACTGTAGCCTACCCTTTACCATGTTTACTGGCCTACACATGTAGTCAACAGTGGTAGATCTACTCACTACTGCACTGGCAGTAGTCATGCCGTTCCACCATCCTCAGTGTAGCCTACAGTGTCGGTGCCTACCCTCAGCTCCGCATTGAATGCCTTTGACCCTTTGCACGGGTTCAAAGTCCAGCATGAGGCCAACAAATGGCATCCATCGAGAAAGGTTTCAACTACTTACTTCAAGCACCGTTTGAGCTTTCCGCACAACGTTTATATACAACGCAAGCAAGTGCAGGTGTGGGTCGCCTTATTTTGAATGTGCTGAAACGGTGAAGCGAAAGAAACTACTGCTGGTATTTCTTGTATTGTGTTATGGCCGATCAATACTGAAGTCGATTGTACTCTTTTTTTCTTTTCCTGAGCGCCCACCGCTACACTTGTCCGCTGAAGGGTAGAATTCGCCGGATCGACACTTGGCGGCCGTGGTATCAGGTCTCTGATCCAGACTGGAGATAATTTTGGTGCACGCGAGGACACTGCCACATGCCAATCCTTGTCACTCAGTGTCAAACGAAAAGCCCTTGCGGAGGATCTCAAAAAGACAAGCATGAGATGAATGGTCCTGGGGCTACTGGAGATTGTCGTGATTCGGGCCTCTGCTCATTCAACACCGAAACAGGCATTCAGCTTCGTCGCTAATGGCGTCACTGCCCCAGGCGACTATTGGAGCTCAGACTAGAACCAGAGCGAGCAGTGCAGTACCTACAAAATTAATGATTATGTACATGTAGTTGAGGTCCATCGTCGGAGTTGTACCTACTGAGCAATCAAGCTGACACAGTGTAAGATTCCATTCTTGTGCAACAGCCCGAGTTATGCGAACCCCTTGGGGCACTCGTGCTGGTCTTTGCTCGGCCACCGATACTGCCTTGTACCGGCTTTGGACGAAACCGTCATCACCAGAAACTCACGTACCAGGACAAGAACTGAAGAAGATCGTGCCAGGAGAAGTGCCATTCAGAAGTCACGCGCAACTCACACGACGGACCACACAGTCTAGATATGGTAGAGTGTACATTATGTTCTATTGGTACAATCATGTACCTCCACCCTCCAATCCATCGATGGTTGTGTCAGAGAAAGATTCATCTGCACGATGCTATTGTAAGTGAACAACATGTCGCATACTTGAAGATTACACATCGCACCATATACAATGTACACTAGTATACCAACCCATTCTAGGTCCAGACGGGCAGCTTTAGTTTAGCCATGAACCATACTTATTTTGTGATGTTCCCACTGGGTGTATGGTGTCACGTACACGGCCAGAGGTACAGTCAGACCTCGCTTTTCCGGTTCTCCTTTATCCGGATCCCTCGCCAACCGGAAGAACATACATGTAGTTGGTTACAGATTTTCAGCACACGTGGTGCATCCAACAGAACCGGTGCTCGGCCGGTTATCCGGTTCCCTCGCCTATCTGGATATTTTTTGTGGAAAACGGATGTGTGTATTTTACCTGGCACTAGGCAGGGTGTTCTACCCACTACAAGTCCCTGCCTGGCACAGTACACCGTGTTCCAGTTACTGGAAGATAACATGACCAGACTGAAAGCCTAGAAAAGATGACGCACATCACAGTCATTGGCGATGATACAGTGTGTGATACATGTCATAGATAATGTGCATTGTGACTCTTGTGACCCTTCTCATTCCAAAGTTGGCAAGACATACAAGCGGCACGATCCTCGCCATGTCCACTGCATAGGGCTTGAAAGTGATGACGTCAAAAACGGCCAGGGAGTACTAAGTTGACATCAGATTTCTATTTTGGATCCACTAAGGTGTGACTTTGCTATTGCCTCAGTATGTGGGTGCATAGCAACCCACTCATGTCGTATGCAGGGGTGACCTTTACTTCGCCACCAGTTGTAACCCCGCCCCCAGTAGCCAAATCAGTCAGTTTCACTGGTTACATCACCTTGCTGAGAGTAAGACGGCTTGAAATGTGCTTGGATCCATACAAAAACTGGATCCAAGTGGATCCAATTTTTGAATTTTTGAAATTGTTGCTATGCTGTGACGTAGCACTTTCAAGCCCTATTGGCAAAAGTCTGATGTACACCCTAGCCTAGCCTTTCCCGTCTAGCTCCCGTGCTGTAATGCCGGCCTCGGCCACTCAGAGTACGTCTATTCCATAACGTCAAGCGAGGTTTGACTTGAAACATACTGTAGTGGGCACTAGCTTGCAGCTTTGCATGGTGGATCGGGATTAGAATAGTCTACATCCTGCAATAAAGGCACACCTTTCAAAAGATCATATTCTCCATTGCACATTGCAGACTATTCGTCAAGCGCACAGTAGCGATGCGGCCTCCATCGTACAATCCCACCAACCTACATCTCACCTGTGAATAACAATGTCAACATGTGTGACTACTACATGCACTGTGGAGGTTTCATAGCGGGCCCAGATAACTGCATGGAACAGCCAAGTAAGTTGGTTTGACTAGTTCGCAAATGCATACAATACAGTACAATACAGTACAATTCAGCAAGTAAAAAAACTAAAGTAAAGTAACTTCCGCACATCCGTGGTATCACCAGCCATACATACAATTGCAGTGCGATCAGTCGCAGTGCCTATTGTATAATTCATGCTGCTTTTAAAGTACATGTAGTACATTGAGACGTTCCGCCTACACTAGGATGTCCAGACATGGAGAGTGATTGGCACAAAACATTACTATGCAATATTTTCATTTTAGTCCTTGATTCCTGGGGGCTCAGTTCTTGACTTCATGCATAATACCATTCATGAGGTGCAGGCAGTGGCACCATACCAGTGAATGACTACAATGCCATGTAGATCTACTATACAGTCTGCACTGCGACAACTATTAGTATTAGAACTGTTATAATTACTGTGTACTATATCATGTACATGTACAAGCACGATGCTGTCATACAGTGTCTTGAAGGTACATGGCATTATCACTGCTGCTTCTATCTCAATGAATTGTACTTCCAACAGCAGCTGTATTCGTGCAACAAACTGTAAGTATTGTGAAGGCCATCAGTAAGCCAACAGAGTCATCCCGTGATCTGGATGATCATAATTGTCAGCCACTGAGGTCATTGTACGTCACACAGGAACAGCATCTACAGTAAGGACGGCAGTGAAGTGAGCCATGCAGCTTCTTGTCAAGTGCCAGCTGTTTATCCATGAAGGTGAAATGGTGACCGTGCTAAACGTATTGTACTTAGTAAACATTGTACTAAACACACTTTATAACTTTAGTCAAGATTTCCTTCAAAACAAGCTGTTCGCTTGGAAGCCTTCCAGAATCGTCATACTGTCATGTGCACTGTCTGTACATGTACCGGTACACGAATGTCCACGACTGTGGATCTACTGAAACTCTGAGGAACAGCTTACGCCTGACGTCTTGACACACTGCTCGTCAAAACAACTGGAATGCCATCACATGAAGATGCACAACTAACGTGTAGTGTGGTTTGGCAGTATTGTATTGTATCCGAAATACAGGCACCTCAGATGATCGTATTATCTCGCATGGTGGCATAAACACCCACGCTGCATGTTGTTTGGCATAGGTAACTGGTTTATAAGGTTCATGACGCATAACATACTACTCGCTGTCAAGCACTTTTCATGTATTAGGTAGCAGTTTCTGAGCTCACTGGCAGTGTGCAGCATGCAAGTAAGTTAGTTCACTTCTGGTCTGTCTGGTACTATGCTACTGTACACAGCATGGTGATAACATGTGTCAGAGCTTCGGAATGGTGTTGTGACCATTATTATTATTTAATTATCAAGAGTCCATAACCCCTAATATAATGTTATGGACTCTTGTTATTATTCTAATAGCTATGACGTCAGCACTGTAGCAACAGCTAAAAGCTGTCAGAAGTAAGTAAACAAACAACAGACCATGATGATACTGAGAAAGTATAAGAATTCTGACCTCACGCCGTCGCAGAACGTGATATCTGGGATTCACTGGCCAGCAGCAAAGCGGAAAGCTTCTAATGACTGATACAGTACCGGTATGTGCTGTAGACCAAGCTAATAACAGTTACTAAAAACTTCGTTTCTACAGTCAATCATAGGCTATTAGCTATACATACGGAAAATTAATTTAGACAGCCTGGCGTACCAGTCACAGGTATTGAAGCCCTATCTACAGTACACTCCTATTCCTAAACAATAGGCTAACATGCACTTGTTTATACATGTACATGACTGAATGTCCAAGCTTATGTTACACCTGCTAGTTTTTGCAGACATTTTCGGTGATGTAATATTTTCGGTATTCTCCAAAAGCGGCGGTTCGGTGCAGGGAATTTTCTGTAAACCCATTTTCCAGGTACCGGTAAGTGCACTGGACTACTATAGCAAGAGTATACAAGCCCCCCACTCTTGCAACTACCGTCCAAGAGTAGATAAACTGTTGAGCGACATTTGCCGCGAATCGACTTTCGAGCTTCGTAACTCTGGAATCACACATCACATCGTATCTACATGTACGTACGTACACTTGCTAGTACTAGTACGGAAATTTTTTTTTTTTTTTTTTTTTTTACACATACATGTTAGGCCTTGACAGATTATGCTAGCATAATTTTTCGCAGAATTCCTACCAAAATCGAATACTAGTAATCGCATAATTCGACGCAAATTGCATACGAATTTTTTTAGAACTATGCGATTATTACCAGAAAAATAATAATATGTAGCGCAAAATAAAGAGAAGGAAAATAATAACCGGTCAAGCGCTAAATACAAACAGAAGAAAAAGAAATCATAAGCCAATACGCGCTAAACTGCGCTTAAATTATAATGAAGGGAGAAAAACTGGAATCCGCGGAAATTATAACATACAAAATGAACGGAAATTTTCGGTGCGTTTTATCTACATGTACGTACGTACACTTGCTAGTACTAGTACGGAAATTTTCGGTGCGTTTTATTTTCGGTGAAATGGTCAGCACCGAAGTCACAGTAGTACCGAAAATTTCTGCTTTTACAGAACTATTATTGCCATGAGTCCACAGAGATCAGGCAGGGTAACTAGTACTTGTAAAGTTGTATGGTGTTTGATGCTTGCTGCCAGGAGTCGTAACAAAAAGAGAAAAAAAGATTATAATATTATGAGGCCGCGCCGCTGCTTGCTGCATGAAAAGAATCGTTTATTTGATTAATACCTTACACACACCCAGATGGACTGTGACAAGACTTTGTGCTTGCATGGGCACGGTCCTTTTCCTTACATAAGCAACGCACCAGTACTTCTGAGCGGAAAGGCGGTAAGAGAGGTGGCGGGGCATGGTACTCAAACCACCATACTTGTAGAAGCGTAACCAGTAGTAGCAAGAGTATGTACATGTACTCATGGTAGCAGTTACAATGCCATGGGGTGGCAGCCGCATGGACTTACTTCAAGTACACACCTGGAGCCCTCCCAGGGCTGCAGTGCAGCAAGGGGATCCAGCAGCCGAGTCTCCCTAGCTGGGCCAGACACGGTGACCCGCTGGTATTGGCTAGAACTGATCATGACACGCAACACGGCGGATATTGAGCAGCACACCGTCGCTAGACTCTACGCCAAACCCTTGCACGCATCACCAAGCACAGAACAACTGCATGTCTGTGATAGCTTCTACTGAAGTTGCTACTATTAAAGACAGTGAGGCGGGCACATAACAGCAATATGGCAGCAGTGCTCTCACAACTCCGTGGACAGGTGAACTTCTACAATTATAGGAATTTGAAAATAGAAAGGTTTCAGGACATAACAAAAAAAAGGTGGTGAACCCATTTCGGGCTGCAACCACAAATACTTCCCAGGGTACAGGCTTTGATAGAAATAAGTTTGAAGACAATCGAAATGTTGCATCGCAGGCAAAAATAACAAAAACGGCAAGAATAAGAAAATATATGAAACTAAACGGCAGATGTGTTTGATGCAGGGGGAAAGCAGCCCTAAAAAGACACAGGACAGGCAGAGATGCCGCTATGACTACGAACGAAGACTAATATGTATTCAATACAGCTCTAAGCAGCACAGCAGGCTAAAACTAGTTGTTAAAAAAATAAGCAAAATACGGATACTAGATACATCCCATTTTTGTTGGCTCAGAAAATGAAACGTGCGAGGGTATTGTGTACCATAGTCATTATCACTCGGTGTTGGAATTAGTACTCGATCGTGACGGCCTTCGTCTTGAGGTACTCGTTCAGCGCTTCCTCGCCTGCAGCATGGACAAGAGTCAAGAAGAATGAGTCCATTACAGTGGTCCCTCTATAATCCGCCACCTTTTGTGCTACGGAAATTCTGCTGGATTAGGGAGGGTGCTGAAGTAGAAAATCTGATTTACTGCTGCAAAGTGATTGAAGAGGACATTTTGGTAACTGAAAATCGTGCTGGTTTATGAAGTGCTGGATTAAAGAGGGAAAACTGTATCCTTTTCACCGTCATCTGGGAGGGGGGGGGGGGGCATAAGGCATGGGACGCATAATTGTGCCACAACCCCTATCCAACCAAGCTGACTCTATGACTTTATGGGAAAGATGACATTCCAAGCACTGGTATTCTACTAGTATTCATACAGTCAACTCCAAGTACTGTAGAACGGGTAATTTTAGCGACGTAAAAACCCTAGCGAATTTAGCGATCGACTCATTTTCGCTAAAGTTTCAAGTCGCTAATCCATTGAGACATTAGTAGTGCACTGGTGATCCGTGAGTACAATGCAGTACTTCATCATAGTACATGTAGTAGTACTACTACCGGTAGCACCACAGTCTACACTAGACTAGACTACAGTCTACATGGTCTACAGTTGCACAGTGACAGTGACAGTGTGAACTCACAACAACATCCACACGACGTGCCAAATACTAGTACATTGTACTAGTATTTGTAGTAAATAAATACTGGTGTAATCAAATCATCCGAATCCAAATCATTCTAGTGCCTCTTTCAACGCGACAATGTCTCTCCAAAGTTGGTTGAGAAAAGCTGCTTCTCCAGTTGTTGATCCTTTTCTCCCTGATCCCGCTGACGAACCGACGCAGGAGAAACGAAATGAACTAGCTGCTGTCAACAAGGTAGTGGCGAAAACTGTGATGCGGAGGTGAAGTCAAGAAAGAGAAAATCTTACTTCCAATACGACGACGAAGTGAAAGCAAGGATTGGCCAATGCGCTGCGGAGAATGGAAACAAAGCTAGGGGTGAAAGGGGTGATCCGGGTTACCCGGGTACCCGTCTGTTTAGCTGCTGATCCGTTAGCAAACGAGTACCCGATAGTCGTGTAGGATGGTAGGGTGCAGCTTGCTTGTACAGTCGTACATTTCGGTGCACAGTTTTGAGTGTGTTTTTGCTTGTTTAATCCTGCTACATCATTATCACGGTATCCATTGTAGCTACGACAATTTTGACTATTTGCATGTAGCGCAGTGAGTGTGCACGCTGTGCTTGTCGCGGTGTAGTGTAATTGCATGACTTCGCATATCCTCCTGGCGCGAAATCCGGAAGGCTATTGTAGTAACTGTTGCCCGAAAATCTCTCTCCTTTCAGAATGCCTGTAAAAGACACGTTGCGCTTACGATCACAGGCAACTGCAATGTTTTTGGACAAAGTATGGCGGATAAAGGGTACCCGATAACCCGCCCGTTAAGCCAGATACCCGTTTGTTACCTTAAAGGGTAACCGTTTCACCCCTAAACAAAGCAGCTGTTGATAAATTCTCCAAGGAACTCGGACATTCCATTCAGGAAAGCTCGGTCCGCAACTTCAAGAAGCGGTATTACGCTGAACTCGCTCGTGTCGGAGTGCCTTCGCAAGTGACTGTATTGCCGCGCTTGAAAGCTGGTCGCTCTAACGTGCTTTCAACAGAATTGGAGACAGCTGTTAGGGATTACCTGCTTAAGCTACGTGACAATGGCGGTGTTGTGAATAGAACGATGGTCATCAGCGCTGCAACAGGAATTGTTGAACATCGTGACAAGATGCTGTTGCAAAAGTACGGAGGCGCTATCGACCTCAGCCGTCATTGGGCTGAATCGTTCATGTCGCGCATGGGTCTTGTGAAGCGCAAAGCTACCAAGGCAGCTAGGAAGGTCCCAGAGAATTTTGAAGCGTTGAAAGTCAAGTTCCTGAACGACATCCAGCAGCTTGTCGCAAAGGACACTATTCCTGATGACTTGATTATCATTTGGGATCAGACTGGTGTGCGTTAGGTTCCCAGCAGCGAATGGACCATGGCTGCTGTAGGCAGCCGGCAGGTGGAGGTGCGTGGACTAGGGGACAAGCGAGAAATCACTGCTCTCCTGTCCATCACCCTATCAGGCAAGCTGCTTCCTCTACAACTCCTGTATCCTGGCAAGACCCATCGTTGTCACCCGCGCCAGCAGTGCCCTGGAGATTGGGATGTCCACCACATTGAGAACCACTGGAGTAACTGGCAGGTGGAGGTGCGTGGACTAGGGGACAAGCGAGAAATCACTGCTCTCCTGTCCATCACCCTATCAGGCAAGCTGCTTCCTCCACAACTCCTGTATCCTGGCAAGACCCATCGTTGTCACCCGCGCCAGCAGTGCCCTGGAGATTGGGATGTCCACCACAGTGAGAACCACTGGAGTAACCGGCAGGTGGAGGTGCGTGGACTAGGGGACAAGCGAGAAATCACTGCTCTCCTGTCCATCACCCTATCAGGCAAGCTGCTTCCTCCACAACTCCTGTATCCTGGCAAGACCCATCGTTGTCACCCGCGCCAGTAGTGCCCTGGAGATTGGGATGTCCACCACAGTGAGAACCACTGGAGTAACGAAGCGACCATGCTGCACTTCATCGACGCAGTCATTGTCCCCTATGTGACGAAAACTCGCGCCGATCTCCAACTGCCTTCAACTCAGCCAGCACTGTGCATTTTCGATGTATTCGCAGCACATCGTGTGGAGAGTGTGCGCAAGCACTTGCAGGACGCAACAATTCACTTTGTTTATGTCCCTGCTTGCTGCACTGGCGAACTTCAGCCTTTGGACAAGGCGCTGAACAACCCGTACAAGAAGGCTTTGAAGGAATGCTTCACTGACTGGTACGCAGGAGTGGTGAAGAAGGCCTTGGATGAAGACAAGCCAGTCGAAGTTGACCTGAAGACATCGGTTGTCAAGGAGCTGCACGCCCAAGTGGCTCATCAAAGTCCACACTGCTATGCAAGCCAAGAAGGAGTTGATCGTGTCCGGGTTTGATCAAAGTGGCATCAAGGCCGCCGCTGCTGCTGGTGCTGGTGTTGCTGCTGTTGTTGCTGATGCCGCTCCTGCTGCTGATGCCGCTCCTGCTCACACTGTTGCTGTTGCTGATGCCGCTCCTGCTCCCAGTGCTGTTGTTGCTGATGCCGCTCCTGCTCCCAGTGCTGTTGTTGCTGATGCCGCTCCTGCTCCCAGTGCTGTTGTTGCTGATGTTCATCAGTGAATTCACTACTGGACTGTACATATCAGTAGTACTAGTGTACTCTACATATACTAGTAGTAGTACTAGTGTACTCTACATATACTAGTAGTAGTGAGTAGTAAGTAGTAATACTAGTACTAGTAGTCTAGTACTAGTAAGGCAGTTATTAGCACATGTTTTATGTTTTATGTTTTATGATGTTCTCTCGTACTAGCACTCATAGTACAGGTCTACTCTCCATATAACGTAATCTCTGGGACCACGCAAACATTATGTTATATCAAGAGTTATGTTATGTAGAAAACCGTGTGTAAAATACAAGATGCACCTCAAAATGAAGGGTATTACAAGGCGGGTTCAACCGTGCAAACATATACACACTGTACCACCATCGACATCAGATACCATCAATGCCGCAGAATATATGCACATAGGACTAAACTGGCTAGCTCCGGCTACAGCTTGATTGTACCGCACACGTGTCGTTGTATCGAGAGTGTACACGTCGGGGACTGCGCCGTAGGGTGCGTTATGCCGAGGTTTACGTTATGTAGGACTAAACTGGCCTAAACTGCCTAGCTACAGCTACCGCTTGATCATACCGTGCACGTGAATTTATGTTGTATCGAGAGTGCGCACGTCGGGGACCGCCGTAGCGTGTGTTATGTCGAGGTTTATGCTATGTAGGATTATGTTGTGTAGAACAAATTTTGTATGGGAGTGATGCTGTTTCGGCGCGGGATTTGATTTTGTATGTACTAACGAGGTTTATGTACAAGTGAGAGTTGTTATATCGAGAGCAGACCTGTACACGGTAGTGGTGGTTTGTGCATACAGTAGTAGAATGCAGTATCAAAATGTATACAATGAAGAAAAATGCAAATCGCTAAAATAAAACGTCGCTGACCGGTTGACAATGGGAAAACGCTAAAATTAACCCTTTCAGTGCCAAGGACGAGATAGCTCGTCCTACAGACCCCCACGCGATTGGCCAAGGACGAGATATCTCGTCCTCGTAGTGCGCACGTTATATTGCAGTGCATAGACCAGTGTACAAACTATCGTAACTCTGTGAAACATAAACGCATCGCGACAATCAATACACCGTTGGAAAGGTCTTGAGCGCATCTTTCCGCGAATATAACGTTCGTCGCGATTGGATAAAGAATCCCTGAGCGGCGACAGGATGAACACCAAAATCACGGGGCGGAGCGAACACGAATTATTTTGTTCATGACTTCGCAGTTTTTTGGAGCGTGCTAGGGGATTTCCCTTTGCCACGACGCATGCGTGATGGACATCAAATGCAGCGCTTGGATCTCAGCTTTGCAGCGCAGTTCGAATCGTGAAAATCGGTTGAATTATTTGGGCAAGATGCCGAACAAGAACGTGAGATTGAGTTGTTGTGCCGTTCCGAGGCACGGTGGAGTAGTTCGGAGAGGAGGTGGAAGTGGCCCTGGTGTGCCTGTGTTGCTGAGATCTACCATGATGGATTCGTTTGGTCCTGATCTTTCCAACGAGCCCAGGATGATGAAAATCCATCATGGTGGAGTGAAATGAGAATAAATTCCATTCAGAGCTGTGGGCGCAAACTACACCAAGAGAGTCGGGGCACTGGACAGCCGGCCGATTGGAGAAAAGGGGCCCGGCATGGAAAGGGTTAATAGTCGCTAGAATTACCCGTTCTACAGTGTAACGAACTCGAATATAGCAAATTTCGTGATATAGCGAACCAGTGTCCATGTTCCTGTTCGAACCGCCCAAACAAAATTGACCCTATTTGTAGCGAACAGTTTTCGTTTATAACGAACCATATCTCGTAGGGCCGCATGTAACCTACGCGCCATCATGCTGTCACAGGCCACATGCCAGTCACGGCGTGTTGCTTGTACGGTGTTAGTGCAATTCGGTTAAAAAGAACTTCGGCTATAAAGAACTAATCCTCCTGCACAATGGTGTTCGTTTCATCAGGAGTCGACTGTACATTACTACTTGCCTGAAAAGACAAGGAAGATTCCAAGAAGAGTTTTCCCTCGAACGAAAGGGAAACATACAACAGTAGATGAGCGTCCACTCCAAACCCCGCTGCTGGTTGAAAGCAACAAGGGAGACCCTTGCCCCACACCCAGCCCCACACCCAGCCCCAATCCGCCTATCCACAGCGTAGTACATGTAGAACATTGACTCACCGAGATCCTTTCCAAAGCCAGACTGCTTGAAGCCACCGAACGGTGCGGCGCAGTCAGTCTTGTTGTAAGTGTTGATGAAGCACGTGCCGGCATCCAACCTCTCGCTCACCAGCATAGCCTGTAGTGCAAAAGAACATACGAACATGCATGCACACGCACGCACACACACACACACACACACACACACACACACACACACACACACACACACACACACGCAAGCACACACAAGCACACGCAAGAAGTTGATAGAGCACTGCTGCGACGTCCATTCATGAATCACAGGTGCTCTAGAAAAGGCATGTACACGTACATGTACACTCACACCACTAGACTAATGGTACACCAATGTAATGTGTGATCACAGCAGTCAACAAAGAGCAAAAGAGCAAGTCGCGTGCTGTTGTTGCCAATGAGTGAGGTCACAGGCTACACAGTACACATACCGTAATAACGCACATATAGGTGCATGCGCCTGCATTCGGATATAAGCGCGCTCTCACCTATAAGCGCATGCTCTTATAAGCAAAGCCCTACCAAAACTATCACTTTGACACAATCACGGATAAAAATCTGTAAGCAACATACAGGAGCCATGAAACTGACACTACAAGACCTAGTCAAACACAAAGATTCTGGCAAACGGACTCTGATTGCGCATGCGCGTTTAGGTGAAAAAATTTCATTCTTGAAAATAGGATTCGTAGCAAAAATTCACTTATAAGCGCATGTGCTTATATGTGCGTTAATACGGAACCAGTGTAAGAGGCAGTGCTGAAAATAAAAATAAGTTTTATCAAATAAAACAATGCAAAGTCTAGCCGGTCAATAAGCACTAGTTTACCTTGCTAATGTCCTTCGTGAAGACACCGGAGGCGAGACCATACTCAGTGGCATTGGCACGGCGAAGCACACCCTCAACGTCACTGTTCAGCACATGGTTAAACACAAAATGCCGTTACCCACAGCCACCAGCAACAAAGACAAGACGAAATGAAAGGATCGGCAGAGGCTGATGAGCAACCGCTTGCACCGGCGCTAGTGACTTTCACCCCTACTTTTCATGTACCTGATGCACAGCGGTCCCTGGAACAAGCAGCAAGTGGCTGGAGATGCCGACGGCAGAAGGCACCCACCCACAAGCGCATTAGAAACTTAGCACACTTTTTAAAAATAGAAATCAGATAACCCTGCTCCAGTATTCTACTTGTAAGTAAATTGATAAGACATGGCAATGGTGACGACAACGACGACGACGACAACAACAACAACAACAACAACAACAACAACAACAACAGCAGCAGCAGCAGCAACGACAACAACAGCAGAAGCAGCAGCAGCAGCAACAACAGCAACAACAACAACAACAACAACAACAACAACAACAACAACAACAACAACAACAACAACAACAACAACAACAACAACAACAACAACAACAACAACAACAACAACAACAACAACAACAACAACAACATCTCCTATTGGCAACAGGCCATCGTGAGAATACAGATTCGAAACAACAACATGAAAACAGCAGGGAAACAACAATGGCTGCACAGTGCATGCAGCAGGAACACCAGAGACAAGACCGAAGCACTAGATAAGCAAATACCCGTACCCATCGTCAAACTTGGAGATGATCATGATTGGACCGAAAGACTCCTCAATTGCAATGAAGTTGTCATCAGTGACATCGGTGAACACTGCTGGCTCCATGAAGAAACCTATGCAAGTAGTACAGCAAGGGTACAGATTATGTTTTTAAAAATAGTGTAGTTTGTAAGAAATATCAGTACAGGAGTGAATGGATTCAAGCCAAAAAGGAGAAAAAATGCCATCACCATTTGACCATAGACAGACAGGCAGACAGAAAACTAAACCTTCTCTGATGAGGTCTCAATGAACGGGGAGACAGAGACAGACAGACAGACAGACAGACAGACAGATAGATATACAGATAGACCGACAGATAAACAGATAGATAGCCAAACAGACGGAACGACAAAGAGAATCATGAAGAGAAAGAGGCAGCCATAGATCCAACACACCATACACGCTGGCAGTGATATGCAGCACAAGGCAATAGAAGAGGCTGGTTTACCTGGTCTGTCAACCTGCTTGCCACCATATACAAGTGTTGCACCGCCATCAAGGCCTTGCTTCACATAGTCCAGAAGCGACTTCAAATGTTTCCTGCATAATATTGACAAGAACAAAATAACCAGTGAGCAAAAGCAAGCAGCTGCCCTGATTAATACAGTACGTAACGATGTTATCAAACCACAAGTTCTCAAGTGTGAAAGGCCTTCTCGCTTGTGACATTGTGTTCGTTTCAATGCAGTTGTATCTCGACTTCGCCGTACCGCTGATGTTTACGACGTGGTATACGCTACATGCGCTATGTGCAATTCGCTGGGTGCGCTGTAGTTGTATGTTGTATGTGTATGCTTTTCTGATATACGCCGTCATTTTCACGCTATAACTACCTGGTGGGTTTAGTGTTAGTTATTATATACGATCGGAGTGAAATATATTGTTAAGATTCAATAGTTGTCCTCATGCCGTGTGGTCGTTCGTTCCTGATATTTTAGAGAATCAGAGGGTTCACAACAAACGACCAGTATGACATAGTGGTAGCGACTTCGGCGGTGATTTGTGCTTTTTGCAGGTTTGCCGAGTGGAAGGTTCGATGGACGTCTCGTGTGCTTTGGGTGGCAGTCGTGAGACAGTCAAGTGTCAAGTCAAGTCGGCGGAAAAGCGCGAGCTCCGGTGTAGGGAGCCAACACCATTCTTACGTAACTACCAGTGCAGCACAAGCCTGGCCAACTGGCTAACTGCATTCAGCTACAACTGTGTTGGTAATGCTTTTTGTACATGTACAAGATGTGTGCAATGTGAAGGAGTAACCCTGGTTCCAGAGACCACTAGGCACTCCAAGACTACAATTTGGCTGGTCTCATCAGTGGTTGCCAAAATCAAAAAATTTCTGCATTCACAATCCCCCCCCCCCCCACTCTCACACACACACACACACACACACACACACACACACACACACACACACACACACGCGCACACACACACGCACACACACACACATACACACGCACGCACACACACGCACAGTATACGATCCTAAAGATGCATGGAATAGAAGAAGAAAAACAGGGTGACCTCCTGAGCATAACTCACTCGTGGTTCTGAGGTCCATGGGACACTGAACGGTCAAAGGGGTCACCGATCTTCATCTTCTTTACCTCCTCAATCTGCAGCAACATCAATGCATTAGAGAATGCGGGGAAAAGAGTAAACACAAACAGTGACACGAATGAGCCAACAGCAATACAGCCAACAGCAATACAGCCAACAGCAATACAGCCAACAGCAATACAACCAACAGCAATACAGCCAACAGCAATACAGCCAACAGCAATACAGCCAACAGCAATACAACCAACAGCAATACAGCCAACAGCAATACAACAGACAAGTATCTAAGTGCACATCACGGATTCAGAAAGTGAACGTTCAAGTAGAAACAGCAGCGTGTGTACCAGCTGAATATTGACAGTGAACATACACGCCAACTCAATACACATGTATGTACCAGCAGTACAAGTACAAGTAGCTAGAACAGAAACAAACCAACAACAAGACCCAAGACCGAGAACATGCACGCACACGAACACAGAAGTACAGAGGTACGTACCACGCGTGCAACAAACTCGTCGTGGATGGAAGCCTCCACAAACAAACGACCTGCACGCACACAACAACAACAACAACAACAAACGGAGATTCTTTCAAAAATCGTGAGAAGAAAAGCACACACAGTATACACAAACACGTGCACTGGAAACAGAATGAACGGAGCTATCCGAGGTACACACTAAGCAGGCGAAGGTTATCACTAGCCAACAATAAAGATCTACACACACACACTTGTTCACAATGCACTACACACACACACTTGATGCACTAGGATACTGCTAGCTGACACACACACTAAAAATAAATAAAACAAAAGACGAGAGAGCTTGGAAGCTCAGGGCCCTACGCTATTCTTTTTTTGCCTAGCTCATCATGCATGTTATTACTAATATTAGAAACTTTCTCTTAGCATTCGAGGGTAATACGACACCGTCTACCACCTTGATGACCTAGGCAAAAATAGCATAGGGATGTTATAAATTTTTCATTTCTCCTATTTTTTTCAAGACATAACCTAGGATTCGAACCCGCACTATCGCCCAGCATGCATTCCCCCGATACACTTCGCATACATACTCATTCTTCCAAGTTGCTTCACGTCATGATCTTGCATTTGAAAGCCCTATTTGAATATTGTGGTCAGCTGTCTTTGATGGCACGGTACGGGACAGGCACGGGATAGCGCCAGGCATGCCGACGGCACAAACACACAAACACGGGATCAAAGCTGTGTGGACCCTGGCTAGCGCCAGGCGTTACTGAAGTACTACCTCCGACAAGCGAAACTTGGCGCGTTTTATTTTATTTTTTTGTGTTGGTACCACAACTTTACAAGGCTGTGAGGTTTGTTCAACGACCTACTTGTAGCTCTACCGGGTGGAGGAAGCCAAGCGACGAGCTGGTGCGTGGCACATGACTCAGACTTAGCCAGAGGCAGGCCAGTCTCCCTTGTACCAGCACAACAGTGCGCGCGTCATTCTGCGAAGGAGAATCGTTGTGCTTTCGCGTTTCAATGCAAAACCAAGGAGTTCTCTCTCTCTCTCTCTCTCTCTCTCTCTTTCTCTCTCTCTCACTCTCTCTCTCTCCACTTGATCACTCAGCCAGCACAGAGTCCATATGCCCATGCCAAACAAACTTGGCGTCTTTCAATAGCCTCCAGAGCGATGAGTCTCTGTCGGCTAAAGGAAATCGCCAGGAATTGCTGCAGACAATTATTTTGGACTGTTGGCGAGAATACCCGGCAAAAAGAGTTGGAGTCCAGGCGCGGGTGTAGGTGTTGCACAGTTCTTACCACCTCAACCTGGATACTGGCGGCGGAGATGACTACCCTCGACATTGTGCCTCAAGCACAGCACACAGGAGGGACATCGAGATTTCCAGGGCGATCACAACAAAGCCACGGTACTTGCTGCAACTGAATCCGCTCTTGTCGCACTTTCGTCTCAAAACAGAAACTGCGATCTCTGAATCAGAGGAGAGTGATTCAGCCTAACTGATGTCTCTAATGTCCTTGTTGAGCAATACAAAGTTGTATTTTGGTGAGTCAATCATTAGTTTGATTGTAAAGTGTGTGTTATTTCGAGCAATTTGAAGTAAAAAAACGCGCCAAGTTTCGCTTGTCGGAGGTAGTAACGTCTTTTGCATAGCTACGGGAATAAAGATCAAGCTAAACCCCAAAACCTATGCAAGGACTGCACACTCCTGCAGTGCTACACAATGCTCATAAAAGACTGAGCTCCTGATCCACACTACATTAGGGGTACCTAGCTAATAAAAGGAGACTCAAAGGAGAAGAAGAGATGGTACTGACCTGCTGCAATGCAGTTTTCTCCCTTGTTGAAGAAGCAGGCCATGATGCCCTGCAATGGATGATGAAAACAATCAAAACAATCAACATAGCACACCGTCACAAACAAGAACAAGAACTCTTGTCACCAACACCATAACTACGTGCACATATACAGATTACAGAGGAGTCCAAACAATCAACTCCCCGGCTGTGTGTGTGTGTGTGTGTGTGTGTGTGTGTGTGTGTGTGTGTGTGTGTGTGTGTGTGTGTGTGTGTGTGTGTGTGTGTGTGTGTGTGTGTGTGTGAGTTGTAGTTGAAGAGGTCGGTTGCACTTTTCTGGGCTCTGACCGAAATGGAAGGATAGCTGCGTTTGCAGCCATGGCTGTGTGGTGTAGACCAGGCCATGGTTGCTGCAGCATGTCCCAGTGGATTTGCGCTCTGCTGGGAGTAGGTACACAAGCACAAG